ACCACCACGCCTGGCTAATTTTTGTATTTTTAGTAGAGATGGGGTTTCACCATGTTGACCAGGCTGGTCTTGAACTCCTGACCTCAAGTGATCCTCCCACCTTGGCTTTCTAAAGTACTGGGATTACAGGCGTGAGCCACTGTACCCGGCCAGAACTAAAAAACTTTTGTGCTCCCAAAGACACTGTCAAGAAAGTGAAGAGAGGCCAGGTGAGGTGGTACACACCTGTATCCTAGCGCTTTGAGAGGCTGAGGCAGGAGGATCACTTGAGCCCAGGAGTTCATGACCAGCCTGGACAACATAGCAAGGGGCCTGCTCTACAAAAAATTAAAAATTAGCCAGATGTGGTAATGCAAACCTGTAGTCCTAGTTACTTGGAAGGCTGAGGTGGGAAGATGGCTTAAACCCGGGAGTTGGAGGCTGCAGTGAGTTATGATTGCACCGCTGCACTCCAGCCTGGGCAACAGAGCGAGACTGTGTCTCAAAAAAATTTTTTAAGAAAGGGAAAAGACAACCCACGAATGGGAGAAGATATTGTAGTTGCAAATCATATACCTGATGAGGAACTTGTATCTAGCCTATATAAAGAGCCCTTGCAACTCAATAATGAAAAGATAAATAACCACCCCCCGCCAACCTTTTTTTGTTTCAGACAGAGTCTCAGTCGCCCAGGCTGGAGTGCAGCGGTGCAATCTCAGCTCACTGCAACCTCTGCCTCCCGGGTTCAAGAGATTCTCTTGCCTCAGCCTCCTGAGTATCTGGAATTACAGCTCACGCCACCATCCCAACTAATTTTTGTATTTTTAGTAGAGACAGGGTTTCACCATGTTGGCTGGTGCCCAGCCCAAATAACCCAATTTAAAAGTGGGCAAAGGGGGCCAGGTGCAGCAGCTCGCGCCTGTAATCCTAACACTTTGGGAGGCCGAGGAAGCTGGATCACTTGAGCTCAGGAGTTTGAGACCAGCCTGGCCAACATGGCAAAATCCCATCTCTATTAAAAATCCAAAAATTAGCCGGGCCTGGTGGTGCACATCTGTAGTGCTGAGGCACAAAAAAAGTGGGCAAAGGATCTGTATAGACATTTCTCCAAAGAAGGCATACAAATGGCTAATAAACATATGAAAAGATGCTCAACATCATCAGCCATCAGAGAAATGCAAATCAAAACCACAGAGGAATACCATTTTGCACCCACTCAGAACGGCTGTAATAAAAAAAACAAGTGTTGGCAAGAATGTGGAGAAATTGGCACCCTCATACACTGCTGGGGGGAATGAAAACTTGCAGCTGCTGTAGGAAGCAGTCTGGCAGTTACTTAAATGGTTAAACATAGAATTACCACATCACCCAGCAATTCCACTCATACTTATGTACCCAAGAGAAATGAAAACAGATGCAAAAACTTGTACACAAATGTTCACAGCGGCATTACTCATAATAGCCAAAAGGTGGAAACCCAAGTATCAACCAACTAATGAATAAATAAAATGTGGCATATTCATCCAATGAATAGTATTTTACAATAAAGACAAATGAAGTATTGATAGATGAAACAACATGGATAAACCTTGAAAACATTATGCTGGCCGGGCACGGTGGCTGGCACCTGTAATCCCAGGACTTTGGGAGGCCAAGGTGGGCAGATCACTTGAGGTCAGGAGTTTGAGACCAGCCTCGGCAACATGGTGAAACCCCGTATCCACTAAAAATACAAAAATTAGCCGGGTGTGGTGATTACAGGCACACGCCCCTGTAATGCCAGCTACTCGGGAGGCTGAGGCAGGAGAATCACTTGAACCTGGGAGACAGAGGTTGCAGTGAGCCAAGATCGCGCAACTGTACTCCAGCTTGGGCGACAAAGCAAGATTCCGTTTCAAAAAAAAAAAAAAATTATTTGTGATGGCTGCACAATTGTGAATATATGAAAAGCCACTGAATTGTACCCTGTAATGAGTGTATGATATGAGATGTGAATTAGATTTCAATGAAGCTATTATAAAATAAATGAAATGGGCTCATGCCTGACCCTCTGATCTTTGGCAACTCCTTCTGAGTCTCGGTTTCCTCAATTCTAAGGTGGGGAAATTGGGATTTCTTAAAAGACCAGAAAAGGCCTTCTTATCATACAGATAAGGGCCCGATCTTGGCTTAGTTGCTCACCCACCATGTCCCCTGGGATCTCTGGCTTCCTTTTCCAGAGACTCAGTGTGCTCAGCCATATTACTAAGTGTGTGACTGACGACAGGCCACATCCTTTCCTGAGCCTCAGCTCTCTCATCTGTGAAAGGCAGGAGGTCTGGGGGAGCTGGGCATGGTGGCTCCCAACCTGTGATCCCAGCACTTTGGGAGGCCAAGGTGGGCAGACCACTTGAGGTCAGGACTTCGAGACCAACCTGGCCAGTATGGTGAAACCCCGTCTCCACTAAAAATACAAAAATTAGCCGGGCATGGTGGCGCGTGCCTATAATCCCAGCTACTCAGGAGGCTGAGGAGGGAGAATCACTTGAACTCAGGAGGTGGAGGTTGCAGGGAGCTGAGATTGCACCAGTGCACTCCAGCTTGGGCAACAAAGCAAAACTTCATCTCAAAAAAATAAATAATAATTGTGATGGCTGCACAATTGTGAATATACTAAAAGCCATTGAATTGTACACCGTAATGAGTGTATGATATGCGATGTGAATTAGATTTCAATGAAGCTATTGTAAAATAAATGAAATGGGCTCATGCCTGACCCTCTGATCTTTGGCAACTCCTTCTGAGTCTCGGTTTCCTCAATTCTAAGGTGGGGAAATTGGGACTTCTTAAAAGACCAGGAAGGGCCTTCTGGATAAGGGCCCGATCCTGGCTTTGTTGCTCACCTACCATGTCCCCTGGGATCCCTGGCTTCCTTTTCCAGAGACTCAGTGTGCTCAGCCATTTACTAGGTGTGTGACTGATGACAGGTCACATCCTTTCCTGAGCCTCAGCTCTCTCATCTGTGAAAGGCAGGAGGCCTGGGGGAGCTGGGCATGGTGGCTCCCAGCTGTGATCCCAGCACTTTGGGAGGCCAAGGTGGGAAGACTGTTTGAAACCGGGAGTCTGAAACCAGCTTGGGGAACACAGCAAGACCCTATCTTAAAAACAAAAATTATCCAGCCATGGTGATGCAGCTACTCTGAAGGCTGAGGTAGGGGATCACTTGAACCCAGAGTTCAAGGCTGCAGTGAGCTATGATGGCACCACTGCACTGCAGCCTGGGCAACACAGTGAGACCCCATCTCTTTAAAAAAAAAAAACAGAGGGCAGATGCAGTGCCTCACACCTGTAATCCTAGTACTTTGGGAGTCCAACTCAGGAGGAACGCGTGAGGCCAGGGGTTTGAGAACCAGCCTGGGGAAGACAGCGAAACCCTGTCTCTCAAAAATAAATAAATAATAAAAAATAAACGAAGCAAAGAAATGGAGGGAATGGCAGCAGTCTGTCAGTCTGTCAGGGTGGAGGAAAGGAAAGGGCTAGGCACGGACCTGCACCCCTCATCGCCCTCAGGGTTCGCTGCAAGGTTACCGAACACTCGGCCCTGTGCTGGGAACTTCCCAGGAACTGGCTGGATCAGGACAAACCACACCAGGGGTTAAACAATGTGTGCTGGAACCTGGGGATCCTCAGGGGTTTCTTGGCAGGGCCTGGCACACTCCATTTGAAAAGAAGACCATGAGACAACGTCAAGTTTGGCACCAACTGGGTCTCCCAAAGCCCTGCACCTGCTTCCCACAACCACCGGGGCAGCCCTGCCATTCGCTGGGGTTCATTAGGCCCGCTTGACAGAGGCAAAGCTGAGGCTGAGGTGAGAGGGGACCAGCCTGGCTGTGTCCGGCGACCACAATGTACCCCAACCTTGACTCTGTCTCACCCTTGACAACCCTGCATGTTAGAGACTGTTCTCCCAAAAAGGGGAAATAGGCTTGTTGCTCAAGGGGGCAGTCTGGAGGGCAACATCAGGATGCAGCGTCTACACCTGCAGCCCTCCCCAGCCTGGGGATCCCCAGCCTGCACTGGCTCCACCCTCGGGAACCACCCCCGTGGGTTGGGGAGGAGATGGGCACTGACACTGACCTGTGCTCCCCAGTCCCCAGCCTGGACCTCTCACCCCGACTTGCCCATCTCTCACCAAAGCCCTTTGATGAAGGGACGTGGCTTTCCACAGAAAAGCCAGCTGAGGCTCAGGTTAGTCCCTTGTGACAGGTCTCTCAGCCAGTGGGGAGAGGAGTGGCAAAACCTAGCCTCCCACCCAGGCCTCCTGGGAGCCACTGCCCGAGTGCCAAACCACTGTCTTCCCAAGAGCACTCTGGTTTCAAACACGCCTAGTACAGGCGAGGCCTCACAGTGAGCTCCCGACATGCCCGCAGCCCCCACTGGACTCTCAGACCCCGCTGCTCACCTTGGCCGCTCAGGATGCCGGGAGGTGAAGATCATCACCCCCTTTCACAGCTGGGGAACAGGCTCAGGGAACGCCACGAGCTGGCCAGGTCCCCGCAGTGCCAGGGAGAATGCCCGCTGGGTCCTAAGCCTTTCTTTCCTTCCCAGAGCTCTGCCCTTGAAATCCTCCAGTCCCACCTCAGCCCCGTGAGGCAGACCCACGTCTACTTCCCAAAGCCGACGGGGACCTTCACCAGGGGGCTGTCTGTGGCCAACATGGCCCAGCTCCCAGGCTGGCTGTGACTCAGGCTCGGGGCACCCCCCTCCCCTGGCAAAAGCAGGGCGGGAGGGAAAGGGATCCTCCACCTGACCTGCAAGAGCAGCTTAATGTTTCCATATAAAGGACATACAGGGCTTAAGGTGCTTCAACTTCGTGTCAAAGTCACTGTCTAATCTGAGGCCAAGAAGCCCCACCCCCAGGCCCCACCCTTACCCACCCAAATAAACACTCTCATTCTTCCAAAACCAGGGGTGTTCCCCGCTGCTCCCCACCTACCAGTGGGGGCTGGATGGCAGGTTGGAAAGCAGAGACTGCAGAAAGACAAGGACATGCAGAGATGGGAAGGAGGAGGGGTGTTGAGAGGGTGCCCCGAGAAAAAGTACAGGGACCAAGCAGGACAGGGACCCAGAAGCAAAGGGACAGAGATCCAGAGGGAAAGGGACAGAGACCTTGAGAAAGGACGGAGACCCAGAGAGAAAGGAACAGAGACGGTGACAGGACAGAGACTCTGAGACAGAGGGGGGCAGAGACCCAGAGAGGGGGGGGACAGAGACCTAGATGGAGGGAGACAGAGGAGACAGAGGTAGACAAGGCAATTGGGAAAATGAAAAAGAGAAATGTTTTAAGAAACGGCGACATGGGGAGATGAAATTGTGAAGACACAGAGAGGCAGAGAGATGGGAGAGACAGAGATGCGGGGGAAAGAGAGAGAGACAGAGAGAGAGAGAGAGGCTTTGTTTGAAAGGATGGAAGCCAGTGAGAAAATGCATAACATGGGGATGGGGTGAGAGGTGGCGGCACTGAACCTGGGGGTAGATTCTCCTGGCGCTGAGCCTGTCGCTGATGGAAAGACAGGACCTCCTTGAGGGGGCCACGCTGAGGACAGGGATGCTGGGGGAGGTGGATGGGGACGATGCAGCAGAGCAGGAAGGGATGGCTCAGCGGGGCCTTGCGTGGAGGCACATACCTGGTGGGGCGGCCCACCCCCATGCCCTCCGCTGGGGGCTCCTTGGTTAGGGCTGAGGGGAAGCCTCTGTGGGTGCCAAGGGGCTGTAGTCTGTCCTTGGTCCCAGGGGCCGTGTGACAGGCACCCGACCTCGGAGTCCACAGACGGATCAGAGGCTGGATGGAGGGGGGCCGGGGGTGGGGCTAGCTGAGAG